AATACACCGAAATGCAGATTCATGCAATAAAATATACAATTTAAACATACAACAAATTTCTATATCCTAGACACTTCGCCTCGTCCTCGCAGAACTACTTCCTGTGTACAGCTCATAAAAAGTCAACTACCTGCAAATTCTATCGCACACAATCCTTAGATTGTTCGTGGTCGCCACAGAAACACACGCTTCTCATCCAGAATGACTGCATTCAGCTCCTTGTCCCCTGTACCATTTGGAGCATCTATTGATAGTGCTCGGGTATACACCAAAACGATGATAATTGTCGCGTGCCAAAAACCCTCAACGTCGAAGTCCAATGATTTAGGGACGGTGTCAGTATCATCTCCGCTCCAACCGCTTTCCAGTAAGTGAACGCTCTTCCGTCTACCTGATTACAAAAAAATGTATACTGATGAGAGGCCATACTAATTCGGCCGGTCAACCGCGGTGCCAGGCAACATAGATTTGTGTCAGAATTCGCGGATCCGTTCGCGCGATTCGCGCAAATCGCAAGTGCACCATATGAACATTCGAAACACTGAATATGAGGCAAGTAGAATCTTGAACAGCTATTCAACCATCGCCATCAAGAAGAAATGGTGGCGGGATTGAACAGCACATCGCAGTATTGATCGGGCACTTATGATTTCTTTGGCCCGTCGCGCGGCGGATCGCGGACTCTGACACCAGCTTTAGCAACCCGAAATATTATACAATAGTGGTCTCATCCAGTAAGGAGAAGGGGCAATGATTCGCACAAACTTTCATTTATCGCATTGAGGAACTACTTCCTCTCTGCAGGCACGAAGCTCGCGGGAAGGTGTGAAAAGCGAAAAGCGAACATTCACGCACCCGGGATTTGCTCTCTTTGCAAAATAGGAAAATTCTTTAGCATCAGCAGGGCTGTCGCAACGCATGCCCTTTTATGAGTGAGGACGCGTATAATAGGACAACAATTCTAAAGTGGAAAGAAGGCGAAATTGCAACTCACCCGCAACAGTTGAGGTGTTTTCAAACAGCATCCACCGATCAGCCCGCATTTCGTGTCGATGCATCCAGACGTTGTGATCAAGTGAAAACAACATACTTGGATGAAAATCGTTGCTAAATGAGGAAAATCATTGTCAAATGATAAGAAAGTAGCAGCCTTCAACATACACATGGTGAGGTCGATAAGCTGATCCAGCCATCGTCGCGTCCGTGGTGTACGCAACCAAATACCTGAACAGTAGCCAATACTATATTTCTCACATCTGTAGAATACCACAAAATCCTGGTCAGACCACTCACCGATGCATCGTATAACTCCTAGGTCTCATGGATTTGAACCATGAATAAAACGTCCTCGTTGGGTGGTTCAGATTTTCCAAACCCCAAATGTCGTTCGACATTAGTTGGCCTTATCTAAAAACAACACAATTCAGAACCTTGCAAATTTTATGACATGACAGACAAAAAAGAAGAGATGAAATGTCCTTCAAAAGCGCAAAAGCATTTGAATACAATTGACGTCGCAGAACAAGGAGCAAACCCACCTCGAAGAGTTCGCCATCTTGATTCGCACGACTATCATAATATTTCAATCTCTTTTCAACTACTGGATTCACTTGGATTCTGCCTGAAAAAAATAATCGATTACATTAACCCATTATATTTTAATAAGCGCCACCCACAGCACAGCTACCAGCGGCCTCAATACATCTACATGGAGTGTAAGGTCTATGGCATTGTGCAACTTCGCGCCTCTTGTAGTCCCACGTTTTTTGCGTAACTAGGATGCAATATCCCGCGGTGAAACCTAACCTGCGGCGCTCTTGCTGTCGGATTGTGCATTGTAGTTCCGCAGCAAAGTCTGTATTTTATAACACCACAGTTGGTCGAAATTAGATGCGGAACAACGAAAAGACAATACGCTTGCAGGCAATGCTAATCAATCAGGCTTTCCAAGGGAGGTTCAAACTTTGAGACCAATCGCTAGCCATCGCGCGATTAGTCTGAAAGTTGTCTAATGGCCGTGCACTCACTTCCATGTGGAGCAACTACTCAAGTGAGGAGAATGTAGTACCTTCAGTAATTTCAGTCATTAACCAAGGTACGAGATCAGTCATAGATTTCAACTCCTTCCATGATGGAACATCTGGCATAGTGTCCTGATGAACTGCCGCATCTGGTTCAAGCTGAAACAAACTGATTGACTGTTATATTATGCTTTTTCAAGAGGATACTTAGAAACTGCTCAGAGATCACCACAGCATGGAGAGTAATTGAAAATAGAAGTTTTCCTCGTGGGAAAATACAAGCCATACTGGGGAATGTGGAACATTTCACTAACTGTGGATAAGATAGGGCCTACGTGAAAAAGGTTCTATCGAGAACCTTGATTCATATGTACCTCAGTGTATTCTTTTGAGATGATTATGCTTGCTAGCACCATTGGCTCTCTCTTCTTCCAGAATGGGAATAGCTAGGTTCTCAAAAAAATCACGTACCACATGGAAAGATACTTGTAGAGTGAATACAATTTTTCCTTCTTGTATAGCTTCAACGGTTCGTGTACAAAAGGACCGACCATCTCGTACTCGTCGTACATGATATTGCACTGGTAACGATGTATCCACTGAAAGAGGGTTAACTAAAAACGTCCAAAACAAGTAGGATCACCAGAAATAAGCATGCCATACATAAGGTTTGCAGTACTGTACTTAACTACGACTACACTACTTCGTTAAGTGATCCTTGAAAATGCGCTGCCAAAGGAATGACATTTTCGGAAGGCTTTGACAAGGTTTTTT